AAATAATCTGTGATAAAAGCAGAAAGCTATTGTATTTGTGAGTGTACTGATATATTGAGATCACGGCGGATTGTCTCTCCCTTTGGATAGGCTGATGAATTCATTCTTATCAAGTCATTCACAGGTCTTCCAACTTTGCATGCAAGTGTGCATTGCCTGTTTCACTTATAACCATAACTAGACTATTTTTCTCTGACTATAAATACTTAGTCTAGCCTCATCGCAAAGAATTGGTCCACTCGCTTGCTTCGTTTCACTTTGCTTCAGATTTTACTGTTCTCTTTGTTAACTGTCTGCTTACGTAGAATGTATAAAATAAATTCATTCACATAAAGACGCTTTGGAACTTTGAGTTATCGACTGAAATTCGAGCCAGACCAGAGGCCAATAAACTATGACTCTCAATGTAATAAAAACAACTCTTGAACGTTCAGATGTATTTGTATGATGAACTCTGATATGTAACATTATCATCAATTTGTTATAGTATCAAAATATATTCACATGAACCAATTCAGTATGATTCACATTCTTGACTTTACCTACTTATAAATAAACTGATACAAGTGACTTACAATGTAGGTAGATGACTAAAATGATTTCAAACACAGTTTAGAGACAATACAATCAAACTTATGCATCTAGATAGACAAAACTAGACAGAACCAATAAGAGTAGTTTACTATATCAAATTGCCATTTACCATTACAGAGAACACAGTGAATCATTTTTATTCTATTTGTATTGTAATGTTTATATCATAAAATGTTATCACCAATCAAATATGGTCTTCAAAAACCGACTACTGTTTTCATGTGTTAGCTTCATCTATTGAAGCCCTTATAACCAGAGTGAAATTCTCAAAGATGAATTAAGGTGTACTATTTTTAGGATTAATATTCTTATTTGACCTCTCCATTTCTTTGTGAAACGGGAGCTTTGAGGAAATAGCATACTCCTCAACCAACCTGCTTGACATGGTAGGACTTATGCAAATAAGCTCTCCACCGTAGACAAGCACGATCATTCTATCAATGTATTGGCTGAAGTCGAGAATTTCATGTTGGTATATATATAACAGGTATATGGATACATTCAAAAGCAGATACACGAACAGACAGACAGATAGATAGATAGACGAATGGATAGATAGATAGACACATAAACAGTTAACTAAACGTGACCAGTGGAGTTTAACCCTGTCAGGTGTAGGCAGTTACTACCAAAGGCAAATAGACGAGGTCGCGCAAAATCCCTAGATCAATCAGAGTTAGATATTTACACCGTCGGATGCCGGTTCAGTGGTCCGGAGGTTAGGTCCCGGCATCGAATCTCGCGAGGTGCAAGAGTCGTGGTTACGCACTGTTGATGAGTCCCATATCAGGACGAAACGGTCATGCAGTGTTTGCAGGTTTCTAATGGTGATCTAACAATAATTGATTGATGATTTCAAATGTGTAAAAACAATGAATTTACTTGATGCATTTTGCATGATGGCATTTGCTTTCACTATTATGAACACGATCGTTTCCCGATGAAGATTCATTACAATTGGAATATTCTGTTAATGATAAATCATTTGAATGTGATTTAATGAATTGTTCGTTTGAATAAATTTTTTCATTCAATTGATCATCAGCATCCGATAACTTGATTGAAACAAAACATAAATAATATAATGTTATTTACTTATTTATATGTTGAACAATTGAGTGACTCTACTCATGTAAACCATTCAAGTGATATTTTATTTTTTTTCTTTACTGAATGATTCTTAATAAACTACTTAAAATGTTTATAAGTAGTAGGCAAAAGTAAAACACACCGACGACTTTGAGGGAACCAATTAGATACAATTGAGATTGCCTCATAATGTATTTTGCGCTAAATTTAAAATTGTAACAAGAGATAACTGTTATGTTATTATAGATGAAGTGAAAAATGACATTATATGGCTTTTTAAATGCTTGAAATCAGTTGAATTTTTTCTAGTATGAAACTGAAAAGTACATTTAAAGTAGTTGTTTTTCCAGTTCAATCATCAAATATAATTTTTTTGGAAATGAATCGCATGTTACAGCACATGTTGTGATTCAATGCACATTATCAAGAACGTTTAGTGTAAATTGACAAAACATCTTCTCCCTTCTAACTCTTACTCTAAATCTCATCTATAATTGTTTTTTATGTTTGTAAGCGGCAGAATGACAGAGTATTTGCATTATAGTTGATATCATTTCGTGATGAAAACTCTCACCTTGATTTATAAACGCAACTCAGAACTCCATATGAACTCTCAATACTTAAGCCTAATCTTTTAGAATTATACCTGGTCTCAACTGGTGGTGTAGACTCTATGCGGTGGAAATCTTAACCTAATACCACTATTCCAACTTTTAATATATAAATTAAACTTCTCCTTTCGACATTAAAGAATAATTCGACATGTGACTGTTGATTATTTATGATTCTATTAGCGGTTATATAGCTAGGTAGCGTTTCCTGATTGGCTGATAAGTCTCTCAAGGTCATCAGTGTATATTTTACTTTTACCAAATAACTTTTAAAAAAACGGTTAATTAAAGTACGTTTGAACATCTATCAGATTAAGTTAAATTATTCTCACAAACACCACCTCTTATTAAACGTTTCTTGTTTTATTTTCTTCTGTTTATAATCTGCGATGCAGTCGGCAAAATAAGGGGGCATTAAGTGTATGGTAAAAGGATATAAGCTTTATTTGATGATCATTTATCAATTACCAGGCATATTTTCGTCTTCCTACATACTATATCGAATTACTTACTTACTTACTGACTTACTCCCAATGGAGCATGGGCTGCCGACTTGATATCATATACAAAGCTTTAACTATTAGTAATGAAAAAATATATTTTTAATGTCCCTATGAATAGAAAAAGGTAACTACATAACTTATTTATTGGATAATTTTAAACAGTTGATGTTAGGTTTAAATTCCAGCATAAACACAAACGACCCAATAATAACTTACTACTGGATAACCAAACTGGGAAATTTGAGTCCTTAAACATTATCGTGAATAAGACAGTTACTAAATAATAAACACTTAAAAACACACCCTATTGAATTCGATTTCTGGATGAAACTAGCTAATTTTCGGTGAGGTAGTCAGTAATTTACATTTGATAAGATTGTGTCTTCTGGGTTGAATACTTCCTAGGAATATCACTGACATAAAATTTGACCGTAAATATTTATCGACTAGTAGCCATAGAGTTATGCTCAAACTTTTGTGTCATTTATCATCGATTCGTGAGATAAATTTTGACTGTTTTAAATTAGTTTTATTAGATTAATTATGTAATTTAAACGCCTTTAAAGAGCTAACACTTTTTCATAAAGCAAATAGGCTACAATGATCGAAAGAAACCAACCACTGTGGCGAAACAACAAACAACTTCAGTGAAAACCATCACATGAGAAAATGGTCGGACGACTTTTGGAAGAATCTAAAGTGACCTTGAGAATGTTCACCTACTTACTTGAGTAAAAAGAAGTACTTAAATTGGTGTGAGAGAACTAGAAAATAATTTCTAAATAAATGTTAGGGTAAAGAATTACTGTTGGGAGTCTTCATCACGAAATGACATCAGCTATAATACTAAAATGCTACCTAACTACATAGATTAGCGAATTCCGCGCAAAAATCCAAAACTGGCTGTATCAAATGTGAATTATTCGTTCAGATTTTCTAAGTCTCTCTAAAAAAACCAATGACGACAGTCAATAAATTTCAGCAATTTGTTTGAACTACTATTAATTTTCAGTAGTATACTTTAAAAGAATAAATTTTCACGAAAGCCATTAATCAAATGACTTACTTGATTTGAGTTGATTTTATCTCTGGTATTATTTATCTTGTTGTTCTCAGTTAATTCTAAATTTTGAAAAGAAAATAAACAATAAACGGAATTTCTAACAACTGGAACTTACTGTGAGTTGAACAATCGTTTGAAATATCTTCCACATTCCTCTGATCAATTAATTCACCGTATAAATAAATGTAAGCATTTAATTGATTCCGTAAATACTCACAACTGGAACATTCATGATCGTTGGAATGACTGTTATCGGCTTCAGAATCATTCAATTTCTAATAATAACAGTAAAAATAATGATATAAATGGAATTAATTGAATAAAACTTTTAGTTTAAGACCTGTTATAATATTATAGTGTATACTAATCATGTCTCGCGCATATGGCTTGTGCCAACCTTTGGACAAATTAATTAATCCACTGTTCCCGAGCTAGTAATCACACATCTTTTGACTTTGCCAATTATTCGCCTTGGTTAATTGGTTACTTTCGCCTTTATGATAACTCCCTAAACTGACTAGCTGGGCGAGAAAGTAAAGAAAGGAAGTCTATTTAGCTACCTAATCATATATACAAATACTCAGTTTCTACTTAGAAAAGGAATCTACTTCTTGAACGATTACTTGCAGTCGTCCATTAAGACATTTCTGATTATTACCTGGTGGCCCACTTTTGATTGGCTCTTCATATTATATTTATATACATATATTTCACCAGATGTATTACCCGACGGTAGCTGCTACCTTGACGTGGTGGTCGAGCCCGACTATTGTGATGACCCAACCGAGCTATTTTAGCCGGATTATATGTTCCTGTAGGTCCTACTATACCAGGTAGGGATGGAGAACGATGAGACTAAAAGCAGCAACTCAAGGTCTGAGGGTGAAGTCGTACTGCTGACTGTAGAGAGTTGTGACAGCGTTAAGGTGTTTTTCTCGGACAACCAGCATCTGCAGCGATTCTGCCTTCTTACAAGGAGGTAAGGGATTAGAAACGGTCGACCCTAAAAATATCACACCTGAACTTACCTCACGGATTCCCGTCTCTAACGGTAAGGCCTTTTAAAAAGAGCGGAGCTAACACTTTAATATCTTCCAATCAAAAGGCTATGCGTGATTGGTCTCAAACAGTTGTTATTTGGACTCTGTGGTGACGCTTCCAGGTTGTTACGATCAACACCAATCCGTCTTCGTTTCAAGGTTCCTCAAGAAACACCCTTCCACAGTGTGTATAGCCGGGAAATGACATACGCCCTTATATTCACAACAGCACACGAATCCAAACTATGGTCACAACCAAATCCTTCCTCAACCAATTTAGCCAAATGTATTGCTTAGTTTAAAAGTTAAACAACCCTATAAACAAATCCACTGATGAATTGAATATTAAAAAATTACTTGAAATCACAATTTCTCTATTAACTTATTCAATAATTTTAACTTACATCCAATTTGTTTTCATTCATTGCATACTGCATAGTTAATTGTTCTTTTAAATCCTGTAAATTAGTAAACAATACACAATAAAATTTCATTGAGTCTCAAAATAAAAAAAAATATTTTGGATTTTTTCCCTTACCTAAAACGTAAATCATTCAAATCTAATTAATACTGATGCAAAGAGAAGAAGGTGCAACCGGTTTTAAATACGTGTGTGATTTTATGTAAAAGCTAGTGATACGACCCTGGTGGTTTAGGCCAAACCATGAAGAGTAGGGGATACAAAGATGATGATTTTCTGAAAATCTTACAACAGCACAAAATATGAATTAGGAATAAAGAGAGAGTAGGAGAAAAATAGAGTTTTTCAAAGATCATTATCGATTTATAAATGAAAAAATCAATTTCACGTTTATTGCAAACGATAATTTGTGATAAGCCGCATTCTTTGTTAAAGACATAAGCTGAAATTTTATCTGGTCTACAATAAAGTAAAAATGTACAATTTAAACCTACTTTACGCCTACAAAAAGAACCAATTATCAATCTTGTTCATGCTTTAGTAGTGACCTTGTTTATATGTGGAATTCTGACGAAAATGGTATAAACAACTAGTCTATGTGTGGTGCACGCTACTTATAAGTAGTATATGACGCGAGTGAAAACGTAATGTCTGGCAGCAGAAGATGAGGGAAGATCAAGAAAGGAAGAGTGGGAACACAGTGGAATTTGTATGAAACGCATGAATAGTGAAATGTCAGACAATGGATTGATGATGGATTGAAGATTTGCAAATTAACGGTTACGATATGGTTTTCCTATTTTACTGAGTAACTCTGTAATTTGCGATAAATACAATTCGGTTGCCCTTACCTGTGTTCTGGTTCACTACATTTGGTGTCGCTGCCTACACAAAGGATCAAGATACTATGGCCAAAGGAGTTTGAGGACGGAGATGTGCGGAGCTTTCCGAAGGCCGTGTTCTCCTTCACTACATATATAACGAAATTATATCTTTTGTTTCAATATAAACTAGAACAACACATATAAGCGAAAAATATGTGTTCAACCTTTACGAAAATCACGATTTTCATCAAGTAGTCGTCTCCCAGTTAGGCTACATCTGATTAGCTCTCTTTACTACTTGGTTTGTTCTAATACTAACTATATAAAAAAATGAAACAACAGTACACTGTTCTCTGTTGATAATTGAAATAATTCCAATGCAAATTTAACATCATACAGACTTATTGATCAGGTTACAGAACACAATGAATGAAAATGTAGACATTTATTTGTATGAAAATACGAAGTTGAGAATACATTCACCATCATTTTCAGGAAAATTCTAAAAACTAGTTATGTTACTTATTATTTTTAGATAGTATAATCAATATAATAAAAGTTTTATATTCTTTCTGTATATTGATTCACGGAATGTATTTATTTATAGAGAATTAAAACTGAATTTTATGTGTAAACTATTCACTAATGTTATATTTAACTGATCGTGTTATGATTTATTCACTATTTGAAAGGGTCTCAATATTGTTTAGACCATGTACTATGTAGTTGGACATAGGATATTCATAACTTCTCAGACTATGAAGCTGGTTGATGTGGATTCATGGTTGAAATCATGATTCGATAATTGTTAGACTAACATTACAAACTTAGAAGAACTGAACAGACATTTTTTTTCTAGTATGGTGTTCATCGACAGTGCGCATACATGGCTTCGTTATGGGAAATCAAGACAATGGCCTTTGTAGTAGTACAGTATACCTGTCTTCCTACTATCCACTTGTACTTTTGCCTATTATATGTAGTGACGTAATCTTTTTCATTTCATTGTGATTGTTGACTCATAAATTGCCTTGATTGGTTTAACATTTTCATATATAAATATTCATGTATATTAGAGTAAAGCCTGATGACGATCTAATCGAAAACAATATTGTTCGCTTATATGTGTTGTTCTAATTTTCACAATGAGAATCTTTAATATCATCAATATAAACTATGTACATTTGTTCCAGTTTTTGAGGATTCATATCGCAGGTTTAGATTTTAATCACTTAAGGCGAATTGACGAGATAAATGAATTCATCTTATTCTACTAAAGTATTTATTACTATTATTATTTGTTCTGGTTAGTAATCAAATAAAAATAAGTTTCTTTTTTACCGAAATGGAATCATTAAAGCCATGCTCAGTCGTCCTTCTTTCTTCTGGACTAGACCCAACTAGGAATCGTCAAAATGAAAGGAAAAGGAGCCGATTAAAGAATACATTATTATGAGATTCGGAAGGAGACATAAAAACATTGATGAACAGCAGTTGAGTAGAACTGGAAAAGAAATCCAAGGACAGAAGAGGTTGAGGCATGCTGGTTGATGGTCTATACTTCATCAAGGATAACAGGTGTAAGTAAGTAAGTAAGTAAGTAAGTAAGTAAGTAAGTAAGTGTTGTCTTTTATTCAAACACAAAAGTTGTTCAAAAGACAATAAATGAGAAGAAATGTTTCATAAAAATCTGGAATGTCCATTAATAACGTGATAAGGTTTTGTTGGAAACAAGGTAACTCATTCACCATATGAAAAAATAACCTTATTTGATATCACCCCCAACAGTAGACATGTAGTTACTTTTCTATACTCAAATAAAATGTAGAGTTTTAACCAACTGATTACCATATGATCTGTGATGTTTTTTTTTAAGAAATAACTAACAACTATCAGCTGTTCAACCATAGAAATTCATTTATATATATATATACACATAAATTGTTTTTTGAAGAAATCATGTGTAAAGAATGATTTAAGATGGCACAGATTTATTGGTCCAAAAATTACACATTCACCTTGATTGTTTACTTATTATGTAACCTACATTCCTTATTTAATGATGAGTAATTAATTTGGTGTGTATTTTATGTTATAAGATTCAAAAATGTCGGCATGAAATTCCAGAACCTGTGTTTTCATATTGATTCACAATCATTGGGATGATGTAAGAGAAATTTTGAAGGAAGTAATATCGCTAGTTAGAAGTGGATTCATATTTTTGTCTTGATTTGGTGGTGGAGATTTTTAAGTTTCATTGAAATCGTGGTTCGATCAATGTTAGAATGCCTTCATAAATGTAGAAGAGCTGGATAGACATTTCGTCTTACTATGGTACTCGTCAAAAGTGTACGTTCAATGCCTCATTCCAAGGAATCGAAGCCAAGGCCTTTGGTATCGCGAGCAAACGCTTAAACTCTTACCCAATGAGTCGAAATTCAGCGGTGTTAATGTCGAACTTCAATTGATCTACAATGTTATGCAATCGCAGTCAATTGTGTTTGGTAGGTAACTGCTTCACACCCGGTTGTTTCTGAATCCCATTAGTCACGACTTCTCAGAGATCTTCGAAAATCCCTTCACAAAATTATACACTATTGACTACATGATAATTGTCATCAGAAGATGGGAATTCTCGGAATTCTAGTGAGAAGCCGTAACAGATATGGTTCAACCGTGCCGACTGTCAGGTACTCAGTGCAGACATTGGAGAATGGTCTCGAAAATTCATTAACTGATTCAGTCTAGATATTAATACTAATATATTCCGGCTCAATGGTCAAGAGTTTAAGCTTTCGCGCGTAAGAACAAAGGCCATTGGCTCGATATCCCATAACAAAGCCATGTATACGCACTGTCGATAAACACCATACTAGAGGACATAACGTCTGTTCAGTTCTAAGTCTGTATTGTCGGTCTAACATTTATCGAATCATGTTTTCAACCATGAATTCACATCAACCAGCTTCATAGTCTGAGAAGTTATGAATATCCTATGTCCAACTACATAGTACAGAGTTCAAACAATATTGAGTCCCTTTTTAATAGTGAATAAATCATAACACGATCAGTTAAATATAACATTAGTGAATAGTTTACACATGAAATTCAGTTTTAATTCCCTAAAAATAAATACAGTCCATGAATCAATATACACAAAGAATATAAAACTTTTATGATATTGATTATACTATCTAAAAATAATAAGTAACATAATTATTTTTTAGAATTTTACTGAAAATGATGGTGAATGAATTTAAACTTCGTATTTTCATACAAATAAATGCCTGTATTTTCATTCATTGTTTCTGTAAACTGATCAATAAGACTGTATGATGTTAAATTTGCATTGGAATTATTTTAATTATCAATAGAGAACAGTGTACTGTTGTTTCATTTTTATATATAGTTAAAATTAGAACAAACCATGTAGTATGGATAGCTAATCAGAAGTAACCGAACTGGGAGATTACTTGATGAAAATTGTAATTTTCCTTAAGGACGAACATATATCATTGGTTAAGAAATGAATCAATTTTCTAAGGGCAAGGAATGAACTTGTATAAATGAATAGTTATGCAAATTATTTGGTAGCCAAATAGACTTCATCTTCCACTCTTTCCTTTATGCTCAAATTGTGAATTTTGAATGTTTCAACTATATCACATTCATCTCTAAGAAGCTACACAGTATAACATCAAGAATATCCACTTCTCATAAATGGTAATATCATTTTCATTAAATTAAGTAGTACTTTCTGTGATTATCATTTTTTTTTCCTTTTCTTCGTTTCTTAACCTCCAACCTATGTGTACATGTAATATGTGATAATTTAAACTGATGAATTGTTGGGGACGTTACATCTCCAGAACTCGCCTGATAAATGCCTTAATTTTGGATTTCATGTTAGCGAGTATGGGTTGAACACTTGACCTTGAGATTTCATTTCCCACCAGTAAAACCCTTGGCTGTGATTAGCTGTTGTGTATTTTAGTGTGCTATTTTTGTGACTGTCTCAAGGACGTTTCTATGATGTATAAATAAACGAGAGTTGTATGCTTGATTGTATTGTGATTACTGAGTGTTTGTAGAATATACTTTCTACGCTTATCAAGACTTTTGGATAGCCATTGGATCAGAGTAGTCTACCTGGACGCTGGTTCATTGTCTCGTTCGCGTTTATCGACTAAGATGAACTCGTAATAGTTTCAAG